ACGGTACGTACTCTAACGGAAGTTTAGGTTAACGTAACTAATACTAAATAAAAGTAAAAGGTTAAGGTCGAAACTAAGTACGGTACGGTCGTCCTCCTCTCTCTCTCTCTCTCTCTCTCTCTCTAGAAGTGCGTTTGGCATATGAAGAGACAGAATACTAGTTTCATAATGGAGAGGTTTGCAGATGGCTGCAACTTGCAGTTTCAACTATCAGAGTACAACATACCTTTAAACTTTGTCCTAAAATGCACTTAACTTGGTCATAAGATGCCGTTTTGGTGTCCAAAATTTTCCTGATGGCTCTATAATCTATTTTCATTTTTAATTATAAAATTTTAAATTTGAATAATAGTTCAAATCAAGCAGATCTACGAGCGTATGAAAATCTTGAAAATTGACAGAGATGATCAATTAGATAGTTTTCCATTATCAAAATAACCTTTTCTGATAGAGTTTTAAAGTGCACCTTAATTCTTCAATTTAAGGTTTCAATCTTATATATTTTAATAAGGTTTACATTCTATCATATACCTTTGAGTCGAGATTTTATTCTATTGTAGGAGCATACTGCCCATTTATTCCCCTGGATAAATCTCGATACGAAAATGTTTTTTGAACCTCAATTTTTGGTGTGTATTCTCTTCAACCCAATGATCAATCAAAAAAAAAAGAAGGAAATTTATCAAAATAAATATAAGTAATCAACCATTCAACTTCTTACCCATCTCTTTTGAATTAATTTAAAAATAGTCGTCAAAATATACACGGCCTTTAAAATAGTTTTAAAAGGGTAAACCGGTGTTTAAAATCCCAGATCTATGGGGTAAACTAGCCATCCTGGAAACCAATTTGGATCGGTAAATCACCTATTCAGATTGGCAATTAGGCTGAGAGAATCTGCCAATTAAAAAATTTGAAAAATAAAACATAGAAAATATGACATAGACCATCCAACTTTTTAGAAGGCCATATCCAATTTTTAAAAAATGTTAAATATATTTTTTCTTTTTGAAGATAATTATATGGTTCTGATCCAAAAATTCTTCAAACAAGTTTTTTTTCCCAAAGATAGTAAGTAGACAGTATATGCTCCCACAGGAGCATAAGATACAGTCTCCATTTTTGTTTTGTCCAGATATTGGTAGTACTACAATCCCAGGAACCCCACCTAGAGAGGGAAAGTGGAGACCACATTGCAGAGTTATTGACTACTAAAGCAGGTAAGGTCTGGATTAATGTTCATGGCTATTATTCCATCCACTCTGTAATTTGGGGTCCTTGGTTTGGGCTTTTGCTGTCTTGTTCCCTTTATGACCCCCACCAAAGAGTGACCTCCTTACTGTCATGATTTCTTAGGGAAAGGAAATCCCCATAGTTGAAGACAGATCATTGTGCAGAGCTTTAGAGAGATAGAGAGAGTACCACCTGAGCTTTAGAGAGAGAAGTACCACCTACAATAGGGTAGGGTTTAGGTATGGCCTCCGCCCTATTTATTGTGTTCTCCCTGGGGGTGGGAATGGGTTGGGTCGGGTTTGGGTCCGGGTCTATAAAATAATATCCATATAATTCTTTTCTATTCTTTATACTATATAATTAATATTATTTATATGTAATTCATGCTATTATATTTGGGTTGGGTTGGGTTGGCCTCGCCCAAACCCAATCTGATGTAAGAATCCAAGCTGGACCAGGGTTGGGTTAAGGTTAAGTTGACCCAGACCCGACCTATTGGGCCCATTGTAGGGGTCAAGACCCAGACAAGGTTGGGCCGACCGGACCCAATCCCACCCCTAGTTCACCTCCCAAATTTATCTTGATGATGGACTAAGATCTAAAAGCCTGTAAGTCTATCATCGTGACCTCAACAATCACGAATATTAAAAATTTAAAATTTATTAAAATACCTACAACAAATGAACCATTTAACCACTTACCCTTTTGGAACTATTTCAACTTAAGACTGTGTTATTTTATAGGTATTTTGAATTTAAATCAAAAGATATAAAAATAATATTAAATTGTTAATCTCCCATGAGTAATTTGATAAATTTCTTGGGTAAAAAAGGATTTGGGACCTAATCCTTGTCTTCTATTTTTAGAGAGTTCATATCAACACTTTGAAGATCATGAAAGCCACCTTATTTTTTATATGTAAATTTATGGTATTTTCCGAGTGCATAATGGGTGCAATTTTCATAAGGCAGCATATTTGAAAGACCGCTAAATCTACGTTATCCAATTCAAGTGAATAGTATAGAACGTCACAATTTTACTTTTACAAATAAGATTGTCACCTTATATAAGCTTTTTTCAAACGGAAAAAAAAAAGGAAAAAAAAAGAAAAAGAGATGTATCATATTTACTATGTAAACATAAGCACAATGCGCGCACAAACAAAACACACGTATAGCAAACAAATCACATAAAACATATGGAATGCACATACAACATATGGAATGCAGAACCATATCACAGAGATAGAGAGAGAGAGAGAGAGAGCATACATACAGTGAATGGGAGGGATTAAGGGTGGCAATGGGCCGGGTTGGGTCCAGGTCCAACCGGAACGATACTTGGACTTGAAAAACGATATGGGAGATATTTTTGTTATATTATTTAACTATATTTAAATATATTTAATAAATTGGGACTCTAAAAATATTACCTGATAGATCCAAAACCGAATAGTATTTATGTCCAAGATTTAGACTCCGATCCGACCCATCGGATCCAATTTTTAGACCCATGCCTAGACTCGGATTGGGTCTACCCCTCACGCCTTTGGTTGGATCTGAGTTCATTGCCACCCCTAGGAGGGATGTGATAAAAAATTCGACAAAAAAAAAATAAATAAAGCATACAAATCAAAGGAGAGAGAAGCATGTCGCATGCAGAGCCACACAAAACATATTGTACGTATTTTATAACATAGGGGGAGAAGAGAATTTTTTACATCGTATTATACGTAGTATTGTAACAAAGGAGAGAGAGAGAGAGGGCAAAACCATAAGATATATTTAGAGAGAGAGAGAATGGTAATGATTCCATCAGATGGGGGACCTTTGTTATGCCAGAGAGAGAGAGAGAGAGAGAGAGTCCATTAATAATCTTCTCAGTGCTTATGCCATGATTAAGGCTTAGTTGGCCTGCAAACACCACCAAATACTGTATACCCTTCTATGAACTTATTATCAAAAATAAGAGAGAGAGAGAGAGTGAGTGGTTGAGGAC